TGTGTGTCCCTGGGTGGTGGGTGGGCCGAGGGCTGTGTGTGTCCCTCTCGGAGCAGTGGACTGGGGCTCTGATGTGTCCCCCAGGGCAGTGGGCCGGGGGTCGTGTGTATCTCTCGGGGTGGTGGGCTTGGGACATTGAGAGCTCCCAGGAGTGCTGTCCTAGAGCTCCACGTTCCCTGCAGGGTGTGGATGCTGGAGGCAGGAGCACCACAGGCTCCTGTCTTTTTGCTCAGTGTTCACCTTCTCCCGTGTTTGGAAAAGCTTCAGACAGCAGGACTATATGGAAAAAGCATGGTGTGATGCTGTTTGCCGGCTTAAAGCTTCCACCGGGTCTCCCTTAGCAGAGTCTTGTTGTGTGTTTGCAGGGCCTCAGCGCCTGGCAGCGATGGCAAAGCCCCAGAGCAAGGATTCTGGCCTAAAGGAGAAGTTCAGAAACCTGCTGGGGCTGGGAACATCCCGGGGGAGCTCCAAGTCCTTGGAGGGCAAGCAGACAGAGTTTATCATCACTGCAGAGATACTCAAGGTGTGACTGCTGGGCAGGGTGAAGGTGGGATGGTGCCTGCTTACCTCAGCTAGGAGGATCAGCAGAGATTGCTGCTTCCCTTTGCTGTTTGGGCATTGCCTCTCCTGATCTCTCCATTCGTTCGCTAGTGAAGTGGAGGTAAAGCTCACCTGCTTTTGCAGCTCCAGCGTTTTAGTTACTCTGTTTGAAGACTTTGGAGCTGTTTGATAGGATGGAGTTGTTTATGTTGGGTTACAGGGTGTTTCCCTCTTATAGTCTGAGCTTGCTGAAGCTTCTGTGGTGGCAGTTTGCACTGGAACTGTTTCTGTTTTATGAAAACCTTATGGTTCTGTGAAAATTAAAAGTAAAATAATTGATTTCAGTAATTGATGCAGCAAGTTTGTAAGCAGAGTAGTTGGCACACAAGGAGGAAGGGAGAACTAGACCAGAATTCCTTCCTGCCTATGCTGGAGCAGCCAAGCTCTTACCTGCTGCAAGTCTAGGGAGCTGGATTTAACATCCTTGCTCCTCTGCCCTTCTCTGTGATCTGGTAAGCATCACAGCCAGATAATTACTGACTTTTGTGATGAAAATGGGATATTCTCTCCTGGCTTGGCTCCAGCCCTGTGAAAGTTCAGATTATTTCCTAATCACAAAAAGGTTTTGCAGCAATTCCTGAAAAGCTCCAGTGGTGACTAATGGTTAGATTGTTTTGGGTAAACGTGTTATTTGGTGGTTCCCTTGGAGAAATGGGTAAGTGTTTCTGTAGTAGGATGAACTGTTAGCTTATTTCTCCATGTCTTTCCAGGAGCTGAGCATAGAGTGTGGGCTGAGTAACAGGATACGAGCAATCAGTCAGATCTGTGAAGTGGCAAAGACAAAGAAGATTGAGGAGGTAAATCCCAAAGTATTCAGGGAGTGTTGGAAGGATGGAAATGTAAACTCTTAACCTATGAAAGAGGCTCCTGTAGGTTAGACTGCATTTAACATCCCAGGGGCTGGTTTGTGCTGACCAAAGCTGGGAAGGGAAGTTAGTCTTGTCCAAACTCCAGCTTGGGAGCAGAGGATGGGGCTGATGGGCTTCCCGAGCTGAGACAGCTGTGAATACTCAGAACAGTTCATGGGAGCATCTCCAGTGTGAAGACAGGCTGGGGATGTTGAGGCTGTTCAGCCTGGAGAAGAGAAGGTTGTGTGGAGATCTCAGAGCACCTTCAGGAGCTGAAGGGGCTCCAGGGAAGCTGCAGAGGGACTCTGTGTTAGGAGCTGCAAGGACAGGACAAGGGGTAATGGGGAGAAATTGAAAGAGGGAATTTTAGATTAGATTTCAGGAAGAAGTTTCCCCTGTGAGGGTGGTGAGACACTGTCCCAGGTTGCCCAGGGAGGCTGTGGCTGCCCCAACCCTGGCAGTGTTCACAGCCAGGTTGGCTAAAGCCTTGAGCAACCTGCTCTGGTGGGAGGTGTCCCTGCCCGGGGCAGGGGTTGGGGCTGGATGATCTCTAAGCTCCATTCTGACCCCTTAACAATCTCTGAATCTGAGATGATGTTAAGAGGGTTTTCTGCCTCTTTCTGCCTTGTCAAATTGGTTTTGAACTCATCTTGTAGCTGGGTGAAGGTTTCTGCAGAAATGCTCACACTGAAGTGAGTGTGTGAAGAACTTCAGTTCCTGGGGTGTAGTTTGGTGTGTAGGTTGGTGTTTTTGGTGTCTCGTGGGATTGATCTCAGGCATTGGAATAGGTTGCCAAGGGAGGTGGCGGAGTCACCATCCCTGGAGGTGTTTAAGAGGCATCTGGACCTGGAGGATATGGTTTTGGGGTTACAGCAGTGACAGGTTAATGGTCTTAGAGGTCTCCTCCAACCTTGATGGTTCTATGATTATGAGGCAAGTGAGTGTCTCTCAGCAAAGACAACTCCAGCCATGAATCTTATGGATCTTACTGATTGAATGCCATAATTAATGACTGATTTAGTGGCTGAGATCCCAGGGTGAGCTGTCTCCCTGTCTGTTCGCAGCACGCTGTGGAAGCCATATGGAAGGTGGTGGCTGACATGCTGCAGCCTGAGCGTCCTGCTGAGGCCAGGCATGCTGTTCTGTACCTGCTGAAGTCGATTGTCCAGGGACAGGTGAAAACAAACAACCTGGGGAATAAACTCTGAGTTCAGCTGGGGTTTGTGCAGAGGAGGAATGTGGAAAATACCACGTTGTTCTTTTCTACAGCTCTCATGTTTCTTACTTGGGATGTGCATAGTAAATGAGAAGAGGAAGCATAGTTTTTAGTTTGAGCCTGGGTCTGACCTCATAGCAAAACTCTTCATGCAACTCAGAGAAAGCTTTTTCTTGAAAATGAGGAAATACTTTGGGTTAAGTTCAGTGTAATTGAGCAGATTTGACGTGGTCTTCGCCAAGACCTTCTAGTCTCAACCTGCAGCTGCTTTGGATGTGTCAGCGTGTCAGGTATGCAAGAGGTTCTGGGTAAGATACTTTTCTAGCTTGGCCAAGGTCAGCATTCTATGAATTCTTCAGATTTCCCCATGTGCTGCACAAACTGAGGCTGGATCAGCCCAAAGCTGTAGTTTTAGGGTTCTGCAAAAGCCTGGGTGGAGCTTGTGGGAAGAGTGGGCATTGATTCAATAAAATAATCATTTCAAGCATGAAGGTTACTGATAATGAAGGTTACCCTTGATAATGTGCAGGCCTTAACCCCTCCTTTTTTTGTTTAAAGGGGGAGAGATTAGGGATCCTCAGAGCCCATTTTTTTAAGGTCATTAAGGACTATCCCTCCAATGAGGACTTGCATGAACGGCTGGAAGTGTTCAAGGCTCTCACAGAGAATGGACGATACATCACCTACTTGGAAGAAGAGTTGGGTGAGTGTTCTTTAATTTGATTGGAACAAGTCAAGTGATATGGGGAAAAAGTATTTTTTCTGGGTACAAGGCATATTGTAATAGGTTTTTCTCTTCTTCAGCTGATTTTGTACTGCACTGGATGGATGTTGGTTTGACATCTGAGTTCCTCCTGGTCTTAGTGAACCTGGTGAAGTTCAATAGCTGCTATCTGGAAGACTATGTAGCTGGCATGGTCCAGTAAGTTGTTTGTTTTACCTCCTACATGCTTATTCTTGATAAATTACAGGAGAAAGTTGCATATCAATAGAGAGACAAGTGGGATCCTTTCCATTTCATCTGGATCCCTTCCATTCCAGATCCATTTCTGACAAATATGTGATTTTCAGTTCTTAGAGTGTTTAGATCTATTTTAGCTTAACTGTTTTTTTCCTGTTTTCTGGGGTGGATCTGGTTGCACTGCTCAGCCTCACAGAGTCTCTCTACTATTGCATTAGTGCAGACATGCTGAGTTGCACTGAAGTACAACTCTAACCTTATAAAGAGGTTGTAGTGCTCAGTGTCTGTTGCCAACAACGCCACAGGAAGGGGAACGAGGAGTTAAATAATAAGGCAATTAACCTGTCTGGTTTGGCTCTGCAATTTGCCTAAAATCATAATGAAGCAAATAATTATAATGAAATGTTCTTTCCTAACAGCAAGATCTGCCTCTTGTGCATTCAGACTTCATCATCTGTGGACATACAGGTGAGGGATTTGTGTCTCTTTTCATACTTCAGAGTTCTGTGAAATTCTTTGGAACTTCTGCAGACAAAATCAGATCATCAGACTCTTGGTTTGTTCTCATCTTCCAAGAGAGCTAAGACAATGTGTTGTTATCTGGAAGCCTTTGGATCTCCTGCACCAATAATAATTGTATTCTAAGCCAAACAGAGCATTGATACATTTGATCAGTGAATCAATTTTCCCCCAGTGCTTTTTATAGTTTACTTTCCATCCTGCAGTGATTAAAAAAGACAAAAAAAGTATATCTGTGTCCCTTTGATTTTTCAGAGGGTTTCCTGCCTCTGCCAGGTGAGATTTGACCTGCTTGAATCACAGAGAAGTGTATAACCATGTTCTCTTTCCCCTTCCCAAAGATCTCCTTGCAGGTGCTTGATGCAGTAGTTTGCTATAACTGCCTGCCCTCTGAGAACCTGCCTGTGTTCATCATCATCCTGTGCAGGACCATCAACGTCAAGGAGCTCTGTGAGCCCTGCTGGAAGGTCAGAACCTCCTGGGTGCTTTGGGTTTTCAGGGATTCACTGCTTTGGCCTTATGGATGACATGTCAGATGTGCCTGTGTGTATCTGCCATCAATTGCAGTTTGGTTTTAAGAGTGAATTAAACGCTGTATAAGTACTAAGGGTTCAGTATCTCTTCTCTACCTGGAGAAGAGAAGGTTGTGTGATGACCTCAGATCAACCTGCCAGATCTGAAGGAGCTCCAGAGAAGCTGCAGAGGGACTCTGTGTTAGGAGCTGCAAGGACAAGACAAGGGGTAATGGGGAGAAATTGATAGAGGAGAAATTCAGATTAACTATCAGGAAGAAGTTTTCCCTGTGAGGGTGGTGAGACACTGTCCCAGGTTGCCCAGGGAGGCTGTGGCTGCCCCAACCCTGGCAGTGTTCACAGCCAGGTTGGCTAAAGCCTTGAGCAACCTGCTCTGGTGGGAGGTGTCCCTGCCCAGGGCAGGGATTGGGACTGGATGATCTCTAAGCTCCATTCTGACCCCTTAACAATCTCTGACTCTCCGAATCAGGATGTTAGTGGGAGTCATGTCACATCCTGATGTGACGTCCTGTCATGGCATGGAAAAGGCCATGTTTAGGCTTCTGAGTGTGTTAACAATTGACACTGAATTGTTCTCTTTGCATCTGCAGCTCATGCGTAATCTTTTGGGAACTCACCTGGGACACAGTGCCATCTACAACATGTGCAGGATCATGGAAGACAGGTAAAGAAGGAGTATCTGACAAATCCAAGGGATTCAGTAGAGGTCGTGTTGATAGTCACCAGCCTCAGTAGAACAAGCTGAAGGTTCTGGTGCTCAGCCATTCATTCCCTTCCTGGTTAGGCTGCCGAAGTGCTCGTTTGGGGACATTTCTGCACTGAATTGTTAGGAGCTACAGTTACTGGACAATGAAGAATGGGGAGAAATTGAAAGAGGGAAATTTAGATTAGCTATCAGGAAGATGTTTTTCCTCTGAGGGTGGTGAGACACTGGCACAGGTTGCCCAGGGAGGCTGTGGCTGCCCCAACCCTGGCAGTGTTCACAGCCAGGTTGGCTAAAGCCTTGAGCAACCTGCTCTGGTGGGAGGAGTCCCTGCCCAGGGCAGGGGGTTGGGGCTGGATAATCTCCAAGCTCCATTCCAACCCCTTAACATCCTATGATTCTAATTTTCCTCTGCTTAAAGTTCTGATGAATGATTTTCTGCTTTTCTTGTTTCTCAATTACTGTGCGAGGCCCAGATGTGCAACAGCTGGGAATTGCTGTTGGGACAGTGCACATTCCTATTGACTTTGTGTGCTGAAATCACTGTAGCCTGGTCTGATACTTCTCTCTCCTCTGTTCTCAGAGCCTTCATGGCAGATGCAGCCCTGCTGAGAGGGGCTGTGTTCTTTGTGGGGATGGCTCTGTGGGGGGCTCAGCGCCTCAATTCCCTCAGGAACTCCCCAACTTCAGTGCTGCCTTCATTCCTCAAGGTAGGAGGAGATGCTGGGGGAACTTTTTCATCACCTGCACACATTTGGAACAAAACTAGAACACGAATTTAGAACAAAACCCCTACACCGAAGAGAACTTTATAGGCCTGAAAGATGAGAGGGAGACATTGTGTGTGGGATGAAGGTTGGGTAAACAGTAGTACAAGCGGATTGAAGTTTGAAGCTGAGGCCTCCTTCTGAAATACCTTTGTTGGCCAGAAAAGCAAATTCTGAATTCTTTTTAGCAAGTATTTACATCATGTGTAGTTTAAAAAATAAAAGCAAAGCAGAACTTCCACTCTTCACAGTGTGTGGTACAAAGATTGAGTGATGGTGTCTTCAGGGACAGCCTCAGAACTCTCAAAATTTCCTCATCTGAGTGTCCAAAGCAGGAATAACTGGCTTTCAGTGCTGTGCCTGCCATCTGACCTCCAGCCACTGGCATCTCTGGGCATCCCTGAGCATCCCTGTCTATTCCTGGGGATGTGTGGGCATCCCTGGGAATCACTGGGCATCCCTGAGCATCTGTGTCTGCCATCTGAGCTCCAGCTGGTTGCAGGAGTGCAGAGCTGCACTTGAGGAAACGGTTCTTTGCTGTGCCCTGTATGTGTAGAGACTTGAATATATTTGTCTGAGGCCTCCAAGCTAATTTCCTAATTAATAAGACGTGTTCCACTGAGAGTGTATCTGAGCAGCCTTCGGCCTTCCAACTGCTCACTGACTGCAATGCTTTGTGCTCCAGGCCATGACATGTTCCAATGCAGTTGTGTCTTACGAGATAGTTCTGTCCATCACTCGCCTGATCAAGAAATATGGGAAGGAGCTGCAAGCTGTGACCTGGGATATCCTCTTGGACATCATGGAGCGACTGCTGCAGCAGCTGCAGGTAGGTGCTGAGCCTGGTTTGATGTGCCTCAATACAAAGGCTTTGCCATGAATTGTTTTGCAAGTGGATCTCCTGTTTGGACATTCCGCTGGGCTTTGAAGCTGATGAAGGTTTAGCCCAGTCCTTGTTACTGTGTTTCTCTTTGTGTCTGAAATCAGCACTTTCTGGTAAGGTAGAAGGCTCTTAGGAGTGGTTTTGTTTCTGTTTCAGAGTCTGGAGCACAAAGACCTGAAGTCCATTGTACATGAGCTGTTGACTACAGTAGAAGAACTCTGTGACCAGAATGAATTTCATGGCTCTGAAGAGAGATTTTTTGAGCTGGTGGAAAGATGTGCTGATCAGAGACCAGTAAGTCTTTATTGTTGTCCTCCTTTGTTGAATCCATCCTGTTATTCACTACAGCTGAAGGCTGGGAGGCCTAAAACAGCAAGTGGTCAGAAAATCCCAGCAGAGGCTTCCTTGAGCCTTGTTCTTGGGATGGAAGTTGAGGAATGGATATATTTTGTTTACTTAGACACTAGAAATAATAACCTTATCTTTCCATGAAAGGAATCTTCTGTGTTAAACCTGATAACATACAGAGCCCAGTCCATCCACCCTGCCAAAGATGGTTGGATTCACAATCTGCAGCTCTTAATGGAGAGATTCTTCAGGTGGGAAATCATCACTTTATGTACTTCTTAGATTTAAGAAGCAAGTGTTTCTTGCCACCTTTGCATGGTAGATAATTTTGTTCTCTGAAGTTTCAGTGTTCTGAAGTTCTAAGTAAATGGCTGCTAAGAAGTGTGGCAGTCCCAGGGCGCAGTACATTAAAGGATTTATTTAACAGATTAAAAGCTTTCCACTGAGTTATTTATATATTTATGAATTATATAGATATTTATATATCTCCCTCTTTCCCCCCCCTTTCGCCCCCCTTTCCCTTCCCACAGTTGTGTTCCACTCCACAGCACTTTGTAGTTCTGACCCCAAACAAGACTTTCCAGTTAAGCACGAGGATTGCATATGTTCTCCACTCTCCCAGTTAGCTGGTTGGAACTGGTGCTGCTACAAGGATTCTGTGCTCCAAACAACCAACACACAGCACCAACCAACTCCTTTTTCCTCTATGAAATGCTGCCAGAGCGCAGCTCTTCCTCAGGACCATGTGTTTGGTTGGAAATTCGCTCACCAGAGCACTTGTGCTTCTGCCAAGTGCTCCTTAGTTTGGATTGGAAATGGGAAAACTGCAATTCCAGCTCTGCAGAAGTAGCAAAAGCTGAACTTGGATTTGAATTCCAATAGTTCTTGTGTCTGATTTTGTATGTAGAGACATCACTGAAGACTCAGCTGATCTCTCACAGTTACTGCTCTCACTCTGAAGAAGTTTCTTGGCTTGCTTTAGTTTTATTTTCCTTTTCCCTCTTCCCAACTCAATGTTATTCATCTGGAATCTGCTTTGCCTACTGCAGGAATGAGAGTCGCAGTGCTGTTCGTATCAAGATTCTGGATGTCCTGTCCTTCGTCCTGAGCATTAACAGACAGTTCTATGAGGTGTGTGTTAACCTGTCTCAGGGGATCACATCTGAGCTCTCAGCTGGGTGGGGAAGGCTTTGGTGAGGCACATTAAAAGGTCTGGAAAACATGTCTGATGAGGAAGGGCTGAGGGAGTTGGGGTTGGTTAGCCTGGAGAAGAGGCTCAGGAGCGACCTCATGGCCCTCACCAACTCCGGCAGGGCTTGGACAGAGGTGAGGGATGTCTGTCCTGCCGTGGCTGCAGGGAGAGGACCAGAGCGAATGGTCTTGAGCCCAGACAGGGCAGAGTCAGATTGGATGTTAGGAGAAATGTTTTCCCTATTAGGGTGTTCAGACACCAGAATATTGCCCAAGGAGGTGGTGGAGTCACCGTCCCTGGAAGTGTCTAAGAGACATCTCGATCTGGTGCTGCAGGATATGGTTTAGAGTTTAGGGGTTACAGCACTGACAGGTTAATGGTTGGACTTGATGGTCTTAGAGATCTCTAACCCTGATGATTCTGTGATTTTCTGCTGGGCTGTAGGTCCTCCCTGCCAGGGGGAATGCACAGAGCTGTGCTCTAAGTGTTGCACACACAAACCTGTTTCTTTGGGATTCCCGAAGGAAGATTTGACTTTTATTTTTCATTAGCTGGATACAGGGATGTGCAGCTTGTGGGAGCTGCTGCGTTTGAGGACATACTTGGTTGTGTGTTTGCTTCCCTGTTTTAAGGTCATTAATTCCATGTACACTTTGGTTTGGAAGGAAAGAAAGTCAGTGTGAGAGATGCAAAGCTGGTTGAAAAGCTATGTAAAAAGAAGGGGGGTGGAAATATTGAGGTGAGCATAGTGACTTGTCTTGGTGCTTAGAACTTAATTGCAATCCAAGATGGAAATTGTCTGAAAGGAGTTAGGGAAGAGCTCTGGGGATGTCTTTGGCACCTTGGAATGTGACCAGAGTGTCAGAGGGCTGGAACAGGCAGAGGTACTTCTTGGATTTCTTCAAGATTTGTGAAAACATGATGTTGTTGCATGTTCCATCTCTCTGTCAAACACCCAAGGCCTAGAAATCCCTCGTGAACAGTGTGTTTGAGCCTGGGCTATCAAGTCTATAGGACAGACAAAACCCAAAGCACTGAAAAGTTCAATGGAAGTCATAAGTATGTGGAGGGATGGACAGAAATACCTAACTGGATGGAAGAGGAGCAATCAGGGAGTGAAGCAGTTGAGGAAGAACCTTAGTAGCAGAATAGCTGCTTTCTTGTGTTTGGAATTAAGTCTCTTTAACCTGCTGATTGAACAGCAGAGTGTCCAGGCTTAGGAAGGTATGTCGTCTTGCAGGAAGAGCTGATAAACCTGGTGGTGATCTCTCAGCTGGCTCACATCCCAGAGGATAAAGACCACCAGGTGAGAAAACTGGCCACACAGCTGCTTGTGGACCTGGCTGAGGGCTGCAACACACACCACTTCAACAGCCTGCTGGACATCATCGAGAAGGTGAGGCATAGTTTGGGCAGGTGTCAGTAGCAGCACCACGTTTTACTACCTTGAGGAACTGCTGGGTGTTGGAGGGAGCCAGTCTGAAGTGCAGAGCTTCAGAAACTCATCAGTGCACATCCAGCCTGCCTGGCAGGGCTTGCAGAATTGCCAGCAGGGATGACTTGCTGTTCTGACAGGCTTTCCTGCCCTTCCAGGATGGAAACGAAGCAAAGGTACGTTGCAGATTTAAGGCATGTGTTGCTTTTGTGTTGAACAGGTGGCTGCACATTCTCTCTCATCTCCTTCTGAACTGGAAGAGAGGGACTTGCTGTCCTATTCAGCTTCTTTGGAGGATGTCAAGACAGCAGTTCTTGGGCTCCTGATAATTCTGCAGGTAAATGCTGCAGAGCATTAAACATGACTTCAGAGTAGTTTTTGCTGGACTTGACTTTTTAGATAACTGTTCTCCCACTAGTAAGTATTTAACTATTATTAACTTGTAGTTATTTAATATGTTAACTCTTGATCATTCCTTTTGCCTTTGGACGCTGTAGGAGTGTTTGTTAAATGCCTTCTTAATTCCCACTGTGCAATGCATATGAGCACATTTTCCTGGGGAATTAGCAGAAGAGAGGAGTTCACAGCCCTGAGTTGGTCTGCTGTGTCTGCTTGGTGTGTCCTGCGTGGTGGTTAGGCAGTTGTGAAGGCCAGGTTGTTGCTGCTGGGTAGACAGAGCTGCTCTGGAGTCTTTGCAGAGGTTCCTGCCAGAGCCATCTGCTTACCTCACATTCAGGCTCAAGATTTGCTGCATTTCTCTTGGAATTCTCAGTGCAGACACACATTTCTGTCTGAATAACAAGTGATCTTCAGCCTTTTGCTGTGTGTTTCTGCTCCTCTGCAGACCAAGCTGTACAGTTTGCCCTCCAGCCATGCCATGAGGGTCTATGAGATGCTGATCCAGCACATCCAGCGCCACTACAGATACTCCTACAGCCTTCCTGTTGCCAGCAGCATCAGGCTGCAGGTATGAGCAGTCACCTGTGCTCCCAGGTCCAAAGTTTCATGGGATTCTTGGCTGGCAGGTGGGGAATGTGTGCTCTAGAGCTTGCCAGAAGGAGAAGGAAATGTTTCTTGGCTTATCCAAGGATAAAAATATGCTGTAGCACTGGAAGTGATTCCTCCTACAATCCCTTTGTACTTGCAAAAGTACCACGTGGGGAGGTGGGAAAGTGTTCTCCTGGCTTGGGGTTTGAGTGATTCCAGTGTCTGCTCTCTTACAGGTGTTTGA